ATCAGTCCTTCAAAAGGGCTGGTTTCTGTTTATCCTTAGGGAAGAAAGCCTAATGGTGGTTACTTAGGCAAGTCTGACCTCCCTTCCTATCATGGCTTGGAACTCAGTTTTTAAAGTTTCTTGGGGGTCTCCTTGGCCAAGAAAAGACCTGTTCAGTTGCTTGGGGGACTTTGGATTTAAAAAAAAATTCTCATCTTCTAGAAAAGTTATTTGTCTTGATGACATTTTCCACTGGACTGAGGCAGACCCTGGCCTCTGTGGGCTCCTGTTACTGATGGGTTATCAGGAGAAGGGAGATTGAATAAGCTGGACAGCTCAGAGGGCTTTGGACAGCCAGAGCAAGGTGATTAATTCCTCGGTAGAAGGGGAGTGTTTGCATATCTGGCCTTTTGGCTGCTAAACCTCAAAAAATGTTTTTGTTAGCTTGTTTTTTCCAGTGGGATCAGATTGGTCAGAGAATTCTGATAGTTGCAACAACAATGAGAATTTTTAGGCAGTTATAGCCTTGAGGATCGAGTTATTTTAGCAAAACCACATGTAATGCTGTTTATTTGTAGTTGCAAAATGTTTTCTTTTGTCGTCCCCATCCTTGTAAAGAGCTTTGCCTTTATCACAGTAAATGGCCAGTCATTTTCCTTTGAGATGGGTGGTTGCTGTAGGCGTCTGTTTCCCTGGGTGGTGTCCTACTCTCTAGGTGAAATGAGAATTGATTGAATGTGGCCCTATCATTTCACTTGCTGCTTCCTGTTAGTCATAGCCAGTTGAAGTAGGAACACTGCATTGTAATCTGAGGTGGTTAAGGGCTGCTGATTCACCATATGCTAGTCATACACTTATCCACTGTATGCCAGTCATTCCTAGGCTCCAATCTCTTTGTTATGGGCTTAATTATGTCCCCCCTAAAATCCATATGTTGAAGTCCTAATCCCCGGGACCTCAGAATGTGACTATATTTGGAGATAAGGTCTTTACACAGGTAATTAAATTGAAATGAGATTGAGTGGGTTAGACCCTATTGTAATATGACTGCTGTCCTTATGAGAAGGGAGATTTGGACACAGCCAGGCACACACTCAGAGGGAAGGCTGTGAGTGACACAGTGAAAAGGCGGCCAGCCAAGGAGAGGGGCCTCGGCATGAAGCCCACCCTGCCACACCTTGACTTTGGATTGCAGCCTCCAGAATTGAGGAAACAAGAGTTCTGTCATTTAAGCTCCCTCAATCTGTGGTGCTTCATTATGGTGGCGTGAGCAAATGGATACACTCCTTATCCACACAGTCTGGCTCTGACAGGCCTTGACTGTCTTTTCCGAGACCTGCTCCTGCCTGGGAGACCCCAGTGGGCCAGGGGTGGGTCCTTTGGTACTATTTCAATAGATCAACGAGTGGATAAAAGGAGGTAACTGTACATTTTTACTCCCTCAGTTTAAAAATGACAAGACTTTTGTTCCTTCTGACCTGGCATAGATGGAGAACTTTTCTCCAATTTAATGATTAAATTTTTAATGCTAAAAGTAGACAAAATTCTAACTTCCTTATGACCTACTTTCTAAGGGTTGGGAATTAAGGGCTAAAGAAGGTAAGTGGCTTCTTCTAATTGTTTACCAAATACTTTTTCATCGTTTTTTTCAGGCTGCCACCTCCCTCCCTCTGGCCAGAAGAAGAGGGAAAGTTGAAGGGAAAGGTTGGGGTGTTGGGGTGTCAGGCAGAGTGAAGGGAGCAGGTGAGAAGGTGGAAAACTACGGGATTAAGGAAAGCTCCAAACTCTGAATAATGGGACCTGCAGCCAGGGTTGCTCCTAGAATGTACAGAGCTGACAGATATTTTGTTGTGTAGTCTTTGTTTATATTAAAAATTTGGCTGGGCGCGGTGGCTCACGCCTATAATCCCAGCACTTTGGGAGGCCGAGACGGGTGGATCACGAGGTCAAGAGATCGAGACCATCCTCGTCAACATGGTGAAACCCCGTCTCTACTAAAAATACAAAAAATTAGCTGGGCATGGTGGCGCGTGCCTGTAATCCCAGCTACTCAGGAGGCTGAGGCAGGAGAATCGCCTGAACCCAGGAGGCGGAGGTTGCGGTGAGCCGGGATCGCGCCATTGCACTCCAGCCTGGGTAACAAGAGCGAAACTCCGTCTCAAAAAAAAAAAAAAAAAAAAAAAAAAAAAATTTGAGTCACATAAAATCAGCCTTTTTGCACAATTCTGGTGACCCAATCTCATGTGACCCTATGCTAAAAATACTGTGCTGGTCAGCAGGATTCATCTGCTTGCTAGGCTATCCTTGTGGAACCAAGACCCCTGCACTGGGCCCCATGATGACTCCATAAATATGAATCCTGGAGTTCCTTGGGACATCTGCTCAACCCCTTGATGAGGGAGACGGTCAGAGAGCACTCTGAAGCAAAGAAATATGGAGTTGGGCTCATTCGGAACCTATTCTGGGCCTGGGGCACCTTACCTGGACACCACCACCTGCCCTTGCCATTCCTGGGGGGACTATTTCTGGCTGGTCCTAAGAAGGGACTTGAGGAGGAAATTCACAAAGAAGGTGCTTTAAAGCATGGGTTCCGTGAGGCATGGGGTTCAGGCCAGGGGCCCTGCTTGTGTGGGCAGTACTGCCGGCAGCCTCCTCCCCTCCAACTCCTGGAATGCTGGGAGATGACACTACCCAGGAAGGACAGAGGAGAAGACACTGAATAATTTCAGAGAAAGGGCCTCTAAATTTGAGGGTCCTGCAACGTGGCTGGTTCCTCCTATGATTTCCCTAGAGAAAAGCCCTCCTCTCAGTGAAGCCTAGAGCATGCTCTCTGAGTTTCCTATTCAGATATTTACTTCGCTCTTAAATATGAATAGTCAGGGAACATCAGATAGCCAAGGAAAATATTTCACATGCATGACAGGCACCAAATCAAACAAACTTAAAAAAAAAAAAACAAACAAAAAAAGGACATGCACAGAGGAAACAGACCTAAATCAGAATAGGTGGGAAGAAAAAGCTCTAAAATACTCAGAAGAATGAGTTATTATATTCATAAAACAAGTGCAAGATGCAATGAAGAGAAAAGAATAACCAAAGAATAAGAGCGAGAGCTTGGAAATTACACATTTGATAGGTGAAATAAAAAACTCAGTAGAAGGTTTGGAAGATAAAGTTGATGAAATCAACCAGAAAATAGAACAGAAAAGAGCAGAGCTGGGCATGGTAGTTTATGCCTGCAATCCCAACACTTCTGGAGGCTGAGGTGGGTGGATCACCTGAGGTCAGGAGTTTGAAACCAGCCTGGCCAATGTGATGAAACCCCATCTCCACTAAAAATACAAAAATTATCCAGAATTGGTGGCATGCGTCTGTAATTCCAGCTACTCAGGAGGCTGAGGCAGGAGAATTGCTTGAACCCGGGAGGTGGAGGTTACAGTGAGCCAAAATCATGCCACTGCACTGCAGCCTGGGTGACAGTGAGACTCTGTCTCAAAAAAGAAAAAAAAAAAAAGACAATGGAAAGCAAGAGAGAAAAACGATAAGGCAGTTACAAGATCAACTCAAGAAGACCATTATTTGACAAACAGGAAAAACAAGAAATGAGAAGAGATTAGCAAAGAAATCCTAAGCAAAGATGTATTAGACTGGAAAGATAAGGAAGTCCAGACTGAAAGTACCCCCAAGTGCCCCACACAATCAATGCAAGAAAATCCACGGCAAGGCACATGATGTTAAAGAGACCCCAGGGGCTTCCAGAGAGAAAAATAAATGCCTTGTGCAGAAGAATGAGAATCAGACTGGTAGTTCTCGATGCTAGAAGACAAAAAAGTCTTAAAAATTCTGCAGGAAAATGATTTTTAATCAAATTCTGTGCTCAGCTAAATGGGCAGTTACATGTAAATGTGGCATATAGACATTTTCATACAAGGCTCAGAAAGAGTCTTATCTGGAAAGTATTATATATTGCTGTAAAACGAGGGAGGGGTCAAGAAAAAAAGTGGAGCTCCAAGTCAAGGAAGGCTGAGAGGTCTGTTGTTGGTGGGTGGATGGAGAGGAGGCTGAGGTAGTAACCAGTGTAGATTGGAGAGGGAAAGATGGCACTGGGTGGTGTGCCCCTTGGGAAAAGGTAACTTTTGTATTGTCTGGTGTAAGAAAAAGCACATGATTAAACACAGAAAATGATTTACTACATCTAGGAGAAAATTGGGAAAAGTCAATATTCAGCTTTGAGATGTATTAACCTAGGGAAAACCAGAAAAAATGATTAGAAAGAAAAGGCTGTCATACTATCATATTTTACTGAATTCAGGTTACCATTAATAGCAAAACATATCATTATTTTAAGAGGAAAAAAGTGTTTCTTGTTAAAAAGGCAAGCTGTAAGTTGTAAAACATCCAAATTTCAGAGATCTTACAAAGTTAAAAAAATGTACTTTTTGGAATTGATGAAAATAGTGCCTTATTTGGCTTTGTGGCAAACTATTTTGATGCAGATTATTGATTTAACCACAAATTATGATGCAAGGGAAAAAGGCTTTAACCAGGTGCTGCAGAGGAGGTGGGAGCTCAGTCTCAAATCCATCTCCAGCTCCCTAACTGACTAAAACTAGGGTTGTATATAGCAGGAAAGAAATGTAACAATGTTTAAAAAAACAAGAACTAGGGAGGAGGTAGGCAATCATTTCACTGATGGGTCAGGCATCTCATTGTCTGGTTGTGGCGATCTGGTGAGTTTCAGTGATTTGATACTTTTTGAGAGGTCTGAGGGATCCTTTCTTGAGGAAGGAATTCAGATCAAACAAATGTAAGTTTCAAGCTTTAAGACCAGAAGGGTCAATTTCTGTGTTTATCCAAAAACAACTATCTATGGGACTCCTGGGTAATTTCAGTTTCACACCTGTAGGGACTGAGGCTGGAGAGGCCACCACTGAGGCACTCTTGGTCCCAGAGGTATTTGTGTCTCCTCTTGCTAAAGTGTGGTAGTCATCTTGTGTTGTTCTGTTTCCGTGATACTCTAGAGGAAAGAGGAAGAGGAGAGGAAGCGAGGAGAAGAGCAGATTCGCCTCCAGGAAGAGCAAAGGGCGAAGGAGCTCTACTGGACCCTGAAGCAGGCCCAGCTGCATTGCCAAACCAGTGAGAAGGAGGAGCGAGAGTGGGAAGAACAGCGTGAGTAGAGCTTGAGTAGAGCTTGTGCCTCAGTCGGGAGATCTAGTCCTGCCTCCCCACCCACCTCCTCCTACTGCTGATTTGCTCAGTCATCATTTCCATTCACTCACTCACCCCATCAGCCTTTACCAGGGCCTGGCCATGTGTTGAGTCCTGCTAAGAATTTAGAGGGTACGTTAGGTTTCACCCTTGAAGAGATTACCTGCCTGTTGGGGCTATTTCTTGTATTAAAAAAATAAAATTCCAGCCTGGACAATATAGTGAGACCTGTCTCTGCAAAAAAATAAATAAATAAATAAATAAAGAGTATTAGCTGGGCATGGTGGTGGCATGCACCTGTAGTCCCATCTACTCAGGAGGCTGAGTTGGGAGGGATTGCTTGAGCCCAGGAGGTCCAGTCTGCAGTGAGCCCTGATCATGTCACAGCACTGCAGCATGGGTAAAAGTGAGAGCTTGTCTTGTATTCTATGTTTGCTGAGTTGCCAATAATTTCCTGGTGCTGTGATAAGCCTTGGGGATCCAGGGATGAGGAATCATGGTCCTTATTTGTAGAAACTCATCAACAGGAGCAGCAGATAAACACCTACACAGACTAAGGGTTTGGAGGGAAAATGTAGCATACACAACGTGGCTGTCCTGGTGGGACTCCAGAAGAGGTGTCATGAAGCGAGGCTTGCTGGTGACACAGGAATAAGCAGGTCAGAGAGGCTGGGGAGGGCACTGTAGGTGGCAGCTCCAGGATGGGCAAAGGCTTGGTGACAAAGGAACACGGCATGCCTGGGAAGTGTGGTGGTGAAAGTTTGGGGAGTGTCGGGTTGGTGAGAAGCTAGGTGGGGAAGGGAAGGTGGAACTAAGTTTGGAGGGCAGTGCTTCCCTCTATGCTGGGATTTGTTTTATTTGGGTATGGTAAGACATACAGGCCCAGAAATGATGCTTGTGAAGGAAGATGTTTTTACTCACAGGTCCCTAGAGACAGGAGGCGTGGCAGGCCATGCAGAACCACATGGGGAAGCCCCAGGGTGGGTCAGGAGGCAGAGGGAGTCGGGGAAAACATGGGCAAGAGTGTTTATTGTGATTTCCTTGGGAAAGGTAAGGAGAGGTAGGCTAGGCAGCTTAGGATTGGCCAGTGTGAATAACTTCGGTGAGCTCTTGGGCGTAGCGGCTGTCTCTAGTTTTGCATCATCTGTCTGTGAGGTGATTAAGGCAGGGAGACTGGCTCAGAGTGTGAAAGCCCAACAAGGGAGGTAGTTGTGGGGATGGGCTTTGGATTGTCTCTCTCTCTCTCTCTTTTTGTTTTTGAGACGGGGTCTCACTCTGTCACCCAGGCTGGAGTACAGCAGCATGATTTCAACTCACTGCAACATTTGGCCCATGGGCTCAAATGTCTGTCCTCCCACTTCAGCCTTCTGAGTAGCTAGATGTGCACCACTATGTCCGGTTATTTTTTTGGATGTTATTAGAGACAGAGTCTTGCCATGTTGCCCAGGCTGGACTCAAACTTCTGAGCTCAAGCGATCTGCCTGCCTTGGCTACCCTAAGTGTTGGGATTACAGGTGTCAGCCACCACTCATGGCCTGTTTCTGTACTCTCAACCCTGTTCCATTGATATATATGTTTGTTTCTTTTCTTTTTTCTTTTTTTTTTTTTTTTTTTTTTGAGATGAAGTCTCACTGTGCTGCCCAGGCTAGAGTACAGTGGTGATGTCGGCTCACTGCAACCTCCGTCTCCTGGGTTTAAGCGATTCTCCTGCCTCAGCCTCCCGAGTAGCTGGGACTACAGGCATGTATCACCATGCCCCCTGCCCCCTAATTTTTTTTTTTTTGTATTTTTAGTAGAGATAAGAGTTTTACCATGTTGGCCAGGATGGTCTCGATCTCTTGACTTCATGATCTGCCCACCTCAGCCTTCCAAAGTGCTGGGATTACAGGCATGAGCCACATCGCCTGGCCAATATATTTCTGTTTCTTATGCCAGTACCACAGTAGTCTTGATTGCTGTAGCTTTGTTGTATGTATAAGACCTCCATGTTTGTTCTTCTTTTTTGGGATTATTTGGTTATTCTGAGTCCTTTGTATTTCCATATACATTTTAGAATCAGTTTGTCAATTGCTACAATAAAGGTAGCTGGAATTTTGATAGTGATTATATTAAATCTGTAGATCAATTTGGAGAGTATTGCAATCTTAACAATATTTAGTCTTCCAGTTCATAATCACAGAATGTCTATTTATCTAAGTCTTTAAAAATCTCTTTCGATAATATTTTATAGTTTTCAGTGTAGAAAGCTTGCCCTTGTTTTTCCAAGTTTATTCCTAATTGTATACTCTTTCTGATGCTGTTGTAAATTCGTTTTCTTAAATTCATTTTTGGAGTGTTTATTGCTAGTGCATAGAAATGCAATTGACTTTTGTATATTTATTTTCTTTCCTGTAACCTTACTAAACTTGTTTATTAGCTGGAATGCATCTTTTTGTGTATTCCTTATGATTTTCTACATACAAGATAATTTCATGTACAGATAAGAGATAATTTTACTTCCTTTTCAGTCTGGATGCCCCCCCCCCCTTTTTTTTTGAGACAGAGTCTCGCTTCGGCAGGCTGGCGTGCAGTGGCACAATCTCTGCTCACTGCAACTTCTGCCTCTTAGATTCAAGCGATACTCCTGCCTCAGCCTCCCAAGTAGCTGGGACTACAGGCACACACAACCATGCCCAGCTAATTTTTGTATTTTTAGTAGAGATGGGGTTTCACCATGTTGACCAGGATGGTCTCGATCTCTTGACCTTGTGATCCGCCTGCCTCAGCCTCCCAAAGTGCTGGGATTACAGGCCTGAGCCACCTTGCCTGGCTCTGGATGCCTTTTATTTTGTCTTCTTACCTAATCGCTCTGGCTAGAACTTCCAATGCTATCATGAACAGAAGTGGCAAAAGGCATCCCCATCTTGTTTCTGATCTTAGGGGTAAATTTTCAATCTTTCACCATTTTGTTTTGTTTTGTTTTTTTGAGACAAGGTCTTACTTTGTCACTCAGGCTGGAGTGCAGTGGCATTATCTCAGCTCACTGCAGCCTCAACTGCATGGGCTCAAGTGATCCTCCTACCTCAGCTTCCTGAGTAGGTGGGACTGCAGATGCACACCACCACATCTGGTTAATTTTTGTATTTATTTTTTAGTGATGGGGTTTTGTCGTGTTGCCCATGCTGGTCTCAAACTCCTGAGCTCAAGAAGTGTGTTCACCTCAACCTTCCAAAGTACTGGGATTACAGACATTAGCCACCATTTAATATGATGTTAGCTGTGGGTTGTCATACATAACCTTGGGTTGAGGAAGTTCCATGCTTTATTAGATTGTTGGATGTTTTCATGATGAAAGGGTGTTAGATTTTATCAAATGCTTGTTCTGCATCTGTTGAGATGATCATGTGTTTTTTGTTCTTTATTCTATTAACATGGTGCATTCCATTGTTGAGTTTCATATAGTGAGCTAGTCTCACATTCCTGGGATAAATCCCGCTTCTTTATAGCATATAATCCTGTTTATATGTTGCTAGATTCCATTTGCTACTATTTTGTTGAGGAAATTTTGCATCTGTATTCATAAGGGATATTGGTCTGAAGTTTTATTTTCTTTTGATGTTTTTATCTGGTTGTGGTATCAGGGTAATAATATTAGCTTCAAAGCACAAGTTGGGAAGTGTTCATTCCTCTTCTATTTCTCATAATGAATTTGTAAAGAGGAATTAATTATTCTTGAAACATTTAGTAGAATTCACTAGTGAAGACATCTAGTCCTCAGGTTTCTTTGTTGGAAATTTTTTTGATGATGAATTTAATCTCTTCATTTGTTACGAGCCCTTTTCTCTTGAATAAATGCTCCCTGAATTCTTATAAGCCTTTGGTGAATTTCTAACAATCTGAGAAAGTTGGTTCTCAGATTGTTAGAGAACCAACATCTCTAACAAGGGCTTTCCAGTGTTCTCATTGTTTTATGGAGGAGAGGATTTTCAGAGGTCCTTAATTCATCTTTTCCACGGATACCTTTTTAAACTGACATATAATGAATTTGGTGTCAGTCCTAAAACACCCAAAACTTCTGGGACAAATTTGGAGCCCTAACTGGGCAGTTGGGAAGGTGGATAGTTGGGAAGTATTTAATTTTGAGTTGACTCTGTTTTTGTTCCAAGTGACCTAGCATGTAATCAAATGCTGGAAAAGAAATAAACCAAACAAACTAAAAAAATTTAAAAAATTAAAAAATTTAAATTTAATTTTTATTTTGTACATTTTTTGCCCCATGAGGCAGTTGCAATTTTCAAGACATCAGTGCTCCTTCTGCTTCTCAGCATTGATGTCCTCAATCAGATTTTCCTAAGTCTGTTGGGCCCTGGTAGACAGAAGGCTGTGTGCCCAGGCTCAGAGCAGAGATTATCCTGAATGCAGATGTCTCAGAGTACCAATGCCAGCACAGTGCAGTGCAAACCTTGTCTCTCAACCAGGCCTTCTGTTTCTCCTAGGAACTTACTGTTATATTTACAAAAGAGCTTGAAAACTGGGCAGTCTTTGCTCTCCAAGTTCCCTTATGGCAGTTGTTTTCACATATGTTTATGCTGAAGCTCACTGGATAAGGAAGGTGTGAGCAGCTGGCTTGGGTGAGGAGAGTGGTGGGGGCATGGTCCCTGGCCCCTGAATCCTCCCTGCATTCTGCGGCTTTAGGGACCCCTCTGTGAAACCCTTTGGGCTGTGTGTCGTATATTTTCAACACTATTGACCTGCCCTAGTGGCTGCCTTTAGCTTGAGATTTTTATTCTCTTAAAGAAAATTTCCTTCCTACCTGAGTGACCTCTGCACTCAGAGGCTCTAAATCAATGAAAGCCTGAGATTGTGCTATCCAGATACAGCCGGATCTCAGGCCCATCCCAGCAGCGTAAACTTGTCCTCTCCTCTTGGAGCACCAGAGTGGCGAGTCCACCTAGCTCTTTCAATTCCTCCTTAATAGCGTG